TTACTGAAAGACTTACAATGTTTACTGAAAGATTTACAATGGTTACTGAAAGGCTGCCAAATTTCATGAAGATATACACACTATGTTAAAAGTTAGTAGTATCTAATCTATAAAGACTTTGAATGAGTACAAAGAGGTCATGTGGTCGGTCAAATTGATCAAGCCTGTATTGAGAGTGTTAATGCTTTAATAAAAGGCAGCTATCTGACATTTATTTCTCTGTATTCTAGGTCATTTGACTGGTCTTATCTATAGATTTCTTGTTTCTATAACATTTTAATTGTGTTTTGAATAATTTGGTTGATATTAACTACAGATGAGAGCAATCTACCTACTTATAGTGAAACTGAAAATCAACCTACTAATGAGTGTAACTAACTAGATATACTTTTCTTATGTTCTTACATATAAAAATTACAATGCATGTTTTAGTTTGGTACAGTTGTTGTTAATGATATTTTCAGCCATAACCCCTGTAATATCTCATGAGGTTCTCCCAGCTTAGGTTTAGATTAGTCCTAAACACATGTTGAGCTAACAATGCAAAACAGTCTCTGTAATAAAAGTATAATAATAACAAATTTAAATTTAAAATCATAAAATTAGATATATTAAACATTCTAACCAGTATTTTTAACCCTTTCACTGCAGCTGGGAGGTATATTGTCCATTGCATTGAGAAATATATGTCCCAGCCACAGTGAAATAGTTAATGAAAGTAACTATAACAAAATAATAAGAGCTTACCTTATTTAGGGTACACACAAACCGTAGCTATTGGTTTAAGTACTGTCATAGGTTTAACACAATATCAGTGTAACCATGTATAAGCAGAATTTCCATCATTCTCCCTACAAATGTCTTTTGAACACTGAAAACTCCAACATTGTAGTTTAGCCCTTTTAGGATGTTGTACTTACATTATTAGTAGGTTACATGACTATTGACAAATTCTGTCCCCAAAATAAAACTTGTGGGTGAAATTGTTTGAAAAATGAAATATTTAATTTTGATTTCTTCTACTATTTCTACCAAAAACTTATTTATTGTAGTTATTTGCATTCAGACTCTTGAATAGTTCAAGTACAAGGTGATTTTGATATTAAGTATAAAAACACTTTTTTATCTTACGGGTTTTCAAATTTCATTTACATAACTTCTAGAACCTTGTAATTGAATATCAAAAGTTTTCTAAGGTAAATGTTTATATTCTCTATCATATCACCTAACTGTAGCTAGCTATTATTATCAACGTAGAGTAATGAAATGTTTAAAATTATGAAATAAAAACACGTAATTTTAACTATTCGTCAAATAATCTAAAAATATCTTTCTTGGATTATCTTTACCTTTTCACTTATTATTTAATTTTAATGTTTTATGTTCTTTTCCTGTCTTTTACCATTTATTATTCATCTTAACACATGCCAGTGAGTGCTCCCGGGTGATATAATAGTGTCAACAGTAGAGATGTTTTAGTCTTTGGCAAAATGTTTTGCACTCACTTAGTAATGTAATCCTTGTGTAGCAAGGTGAAGTTTGAATTATATTAAAAAAGTATTAAACCTTTCAAATATGAATTTTTAAACATAAGTAATACATAATTAACTAAAATATTAAAGTAAAACCTAAATGCAATATTGAACTAATATGTATCAAGGTGAGAAACAACAGTAAGTGGGAAAAACTAACAATTCCAAAAGCAATTTTTCGTGTTTCTTAAGGAATACTTTGTGCCCATTTTAAAATTACCTTTGAGAGATCAAATAATTAGGTGGGTGTGGCTACTGTCATGGGGTGAGACTATATAGTCTTTTTCTGAATTGACCCAAATGAACTGGAAACTTGGACAGGTAAATAGGACTGTAGAAGTAGAATTCAGTCTAGGCATACCCATACACTGTTACATGTACTATTGTTCAAGTAATAGAGACAAAACGTTAATACCTGTGAACCTCATGCATCATGTGACAACAAAGCTGAGGTTTAAATATTTTTTGAAGTTTTCTTTTGAAATAAAGGAATTAAAACTTAGATAATATAAAACCTTGAATTATAATGTACATGATAATGCTAATTTCATTAAAATACATTGATAGTAAAGTTACTGAATTAAATTTTGAATTTTACTCAGTAAAACCTCATGACATGAGAAGAAAGGAGTTTAAAAGAGTGTACAGAAATAAACCTGTATTTGTATGGTGTTTTATGCAATTGGGATATCCAAAATAAATTAGTATCACATTGTAAGATTTAACAGATTGTTTGCTAAAGTCAGATAAAACTCTAATGAAACTGTAATATGTTTATGTATGATACTTTCTATATTGGTTTTAATGGACTTGTACATCTTGTTGTCTGAAGGTTTTAATGTTCTTTACATAAAGCTGCAATATAACACTTTTTGCAAATGAAAAGAGTTGTTAGCTTCTTTATCTCTTGGTGTGATGATATATCTAGTATGTTAAATTAGCTAATTACTCAATAACTTTTTACCCATAAAATGTCAATTGTTGTTAGTGGTGAGTTTATTTAAGTATGTCATGTGTTTATAAGTTATATCTTCATCACAGCAATCACTGGAAACATGGCCAACTGGTCAAGTTCTTATATTTTAAGTTATGTGGCAATGTCCTTATAGACTTGTTTTTTTATATTTTAGGTCCATTTTGGATCACTTCAACACTAGTCTTCATCACAGCAATTGGTGGCAACATGGCCAACTACTTGCAAACTGTGGGGGTACGGAATCAGATCTGGCATTATGACTTCCATAAAGGTAAAAACTTAGTTCAAGGGACAACACATTTAAAGTAGAAAGTTTAGTTTGCAAGTAAAATTATTGGCATGATGTCATTCCCAACAAATAATCAATAACAAGCTGGTAATGGTATTGGTAATTCTATCAATTATTTCTCTTACAAGGAGTGTGAGTTTAGGACTGTACATTAAAGTCAAACAAATTGCTTACATTCCACGCCTATATGAGACCTACATGATGTATTTCCTTTGATCGTCCAAGCAGTGCTGATGAGCTGTGAATCAAGTAATAGATTATGCCACACATCATCTTTTCTGTACTGAAATTCACATTTTGAAAAGGGAAAGAAATTCACTAATAAATACATAAATAATTAAGTCTGCTAAATATCTGTGACAGTATGTCAGATATTATCCAAATACCTAAAATATTTGTTTATTTGCTTTGCATTACCAAGCAGCACTGAGGAACTGTGAATTCAACAAAACTAGTCTTGTACAGAGGAAGAAACAAATCAAGTAATAGAATAAGCCTCATGTCATCTTCAGTGAAATTATTGTTTTGGCGAGGAAAAGAAATTCACAAATGGACATTACTACTGATGAACACAATAACCTGAAAGACCAGTAATTGTGAAACCTTGCTAGCCTATTAGTTTTTGTTGCTTTGTTTTGTTGCTGCTGTTGAAATTTTCATCCTATTTGAAAAATTATTAAACAGTATTTAAATATATTAACTTTTTTTCAATTTCATAAATTAAATAAAAATATATTAGGGTTGAAAGTGAACTTATGAAAAAAATGTGTAATTGTTTTTTCTTGTTATCATCATATGTTTAGTTCAGCACAATTGTTTTGAATGAGCTAAAACCATTGTTGAAACCTTGATGTTTTTGAACATAAAAGTTTTCCAAATTGAAATCTTATTTATATATATATAATAACTTGAGAATTATTGCACAATGAAAACATATTCTTGTAATATCATAAGTGACCATCGTTATCATTACTTATTATTAGCTTATTATAATGTAGTCATCACTCAGGCAAAGCATAATTTTTATAGCCTTCAATCTTATATGGTTACAAAGCTATCAAATAGAAAATCAGACCCCTCTTGCCATGCCCACCTGTCACATCCTCTATTTCAGAAAATCCTAATAGTTCTCTCTGATGTTTAATATAATATTATTTAAAACCAATAGAAAGCCGAAGTTCAGTCTATCGAGTGACATATTATATCAAGTTGTTTTATCCACAGATAATTGTCAGTTTTGCTTCGAGTTCAAGCTTAGCTTAGCTGAATTTCTAGTGGCTCTTGTCACATAGTTAGAAAGCCAGAATAATTGTGATAGTTATGGGACTTATTCTGCTTTTTGCATGTTATTATTCTGTGTTCTTTGGAGCATTATTTGAGTAAATAAAAAATTAGTTATTGCAGTAGTACTATTAGTGTAAAAAAAAGTAGGGTTAAGTGTCATTGACAGTCTACGGCTAAAAAAAGAAGACTTTATTTTTTGTTCTTCATGTGTATTCTAAAATGTAAAAATTAGAAACTCTTTAAGTTATGTAAGGTCAGATTAGGTAAAAAAGAAAA